GCCTCAATTTTTTAGTGTATATGGGGAGTTCTAAAGCCAGGAGTTATATTCACAGGCCCTAGACAAATATGGGAGAGATTTAGCACTCTTGATAACAAATGGGGGAAATAAGAATTTATGTTTTTTTCCATTCCAACTGAGCATACACACTAATATCCCTGAACTGTAAAAATGATTTTACTCACTATTCATATGTAGTCATGAATGAGAAGCAGCCAAATAGCTGCTGTGAGCAGAATTTAAATCACATTTCATGTGGCTTGGATGTAAAATGTCTATTTATTTATTTTTAAGCTTGGCTGAACATACATAGTTTCTGCTGTCCTAGTTACCAGTAGCATTTATGTGGCACAGTCCAGATCATGAGGTGTCTTAGTAATTCCTCTGATTTGATTGACTGGCTGAAGATCTGGCCCCAGGCTCAGAACTAGATAGTGGCAGCAGCACACCCCAAGAAATGCTGGGCCCATCATTTTCCAGTGATGAAATTTTACTAATCTGTAACAAAATTCCATGCCAGCATGTTCAAATACATTTCTAACACCTTCCCCAGTAACCTGTGTGTTCAATCCACCTGTGTGGGTTTGTGGGTGGGCCTATGACCAAGACCAATTTAAACCTTGTGATGTGGGCCATATTAAAATAGGGGATTATTGGTCATCAGTAGGGATTAAGTCGTTCAGTGCTAAAACACAGGACTCTGTTACTTGAGCTGAAGGAGTAATTTTCAATGGTAGCATTAGTAGGCCCTTATGCTCTGTGAACCAGTCTCTAGAAGGGGCCACAAAAAATTTAGACAGTGTATTATGTCAGCAAATGTTGGCTGATTAGTGCATGATACAAAATGTTCACATGCATTAGTATGCTGCCTTGCTACATTCCGTATGTCACGCCCCCATGCTTTATGAAAATTGGCTTATGAATATGAATAACTCAAAGATTCTTTATGCAAAATAGGTCATGTAAAATACCATGTTTAAAGTTACAAACTGCTGGATCTGTATATCCCATTTTTGTGCACATATCATTCTTGTACATGGAATTAGAAATATGAAGTGTGAATCTGTTTTTAATTCTAAATGTGTTAATGAAGGCCATTAGTGATACTTTAGGAACTTAATGGCTCAGTACACCAATGACCTGTGAGTGGTTTTATTTTCCCTATAAGATCAAACTGCGATTGGTCCTAGAAAGACATATGACCATGACACTTGATACTGGGAATCCATCTTGAATTGGGTATTTTTCCATGGTAATGGGGAGATTGAACAAAAAGTTCCTGCCCTGGGGAAAAATCTATTTAAGGAATAGAAAGCAGTCAAGTCTTTGTTTTGTTAAGTTTAATTTTTACCTGGAGGGAACAACCACTGTACACATCTCTCTTTCACTGATAAAAGGGAGCAATTTTTTATCAGCATTCTCTGTGCAAAACTTTTTTAGAAGGGCTAGGTCTACGCTATCACCATTTTTTGGAAAAAGCTACGCAAATTGTGGAGCACAATTTGCGTAGCTTTTTCCAATCGCTTTTCCGGAAAAGGCTTTTCCACCATTAGGCCCCATCTAGACGGGCTTTCAGAGGAACCCTTATTCCTAGTAGAATGAGGTATACAGGACTGCCCGAAAGAGCGCATTTGCTCTTCTGCAAAAAAAAGCAGAAGAGCAAATGTATTCCCTGGACATGGCGGAGTTTTTCCGGGATACTGGAGGTATCCCGGAAAAACCCACCAGTCTAGTAGTACCCAATTGGTTCCTTTTGAAGGTTGGTTTCTTGGGCATTATCAATTGCCTTATAGCTGAGTTCTCCCAGAGTTGGGCTGGTTCACTGACTGTGTTGCTCTGCGGGGCGTGAGGGGTGTGTGGTAACCTTAACTCTGTGTGTTGGCTGGGGAATACCAGTGCATCTGACCCAGTGGACAGAATGGTGGGAAACCCCAGAGTGCAGGAAGGCAGGCATCAGTGGCTGGGAGATAAACCTGTGGAGATTTCTGTTATCCAACCCATTGCACCATACTTACCTACAGTCACAGCATTTTCATCCGCCAACTTCATACTGCAGTTGACTCCTCCAAAGGGGTGGCGGCAAGCACAAATAAAACTCTGCTTTTCATTGATGCAGGTTCCTCCATTCTGACAGGGAGAGCTAGTGCAGCCCACATATTCACCTATGTTAAAGGGGAAAAAACTGAATTGATATGATCGATATATTTACAAAAGTTAATTACAATGGCTCCCACTGGCTCTCACCTAGGCCCATGCAAAACTTTTTCATCCCTACTCAAAATCAGGTGAAATTCCCCTTCTGAATTTGTGTGTGGACACAAACAAACAAACAAGACTCCAAGAAGGTTCAGTCAGCACAGGACTTTAGCAGTCAGTCAACCTGTTCAGCTTACACATTTTTACTCCATGAAACTATCTACTTTTTTGTTAGTCTCTAAAGTGCTGCAGGACCATTCATTATTTTCACTCCAGTCAGTGGGTTCCAGAAACATTCTCTCTATCTCTTCTCTCTTTCTCTGATACATGCATGTGCACGCGTACACACATGCACGTGCGCACACACTCACACGCACACACACACACTCTTATCACCTTACTCTCTTGTCAAGGTTGGCAGATAAGATAAGATGGAAGATGTTACAATCCTACCTTCTGTGGGTGGATGGCTTGGAGTCATCTAACAAATTTGCAATTAGGGGATGGTGAGTAGACATATTGGTGGTCCACCGCAAGCCACCACAGGGACGGCGTTCATTGCTCACCACACCATTTGGTGGCAGAAGTCACCCAATATGGATTATTTTGGATCAAGATGGGCATCGAGTTCCCATGTCTTGGAGCTCTGCTAGGTATCCCTATCTTAAAATCAGCAGGATTCAGCTAGATGTCTGCAGTTTTGGACATGCAACCACAGAGGCTGCTTTGAAAATGTGTCCCAGAAATGAAAGAATGTAAAAGGTTTGTACTATTCAATGGAAAGTGATGAATATTAAGAGCTACTGAGACACCTTAAATTGTTCATTTTTCTACTATTATTTTGGTCAATCAAAGTCAAGAGCTTTAGAGAATATTTCTTTGCTGTAATGCAGTGCATTGGTCTGAGCCATACACTGTACAACAGACTCAGGCCCTAAGAGCGGAGTCCAGCAGTTGAAATTATGCATAAGCCTATGAAAAAATAGCAAGTTGGACAACTTCCAGGTGTGCATGAAAAGGTTGGTAAATTTAAAAGGGTAGTTTGGAGATGAAAGGTCCTTTCAAATAAGCTCTGATTGCCAGAATAAGTGTTGTATTGTCTTTTTCCACAGATAACTCTATGACAGCGAGGGAGGTATTTTTACTTTCCAGCACAGTCATTTCAAGTGCTACTGCATTTAGTCACATTATTTATATGAGGAATTTTATTTCATTGAACAGAATGTTAAAGCTTTTTTCTCCTTGTGCAATGCCTCTTGAATTGAGTTTAGACTGATCAGACTTGTGGCCTGAAATACCAAAAAGGTTCCTATATGTTGCATGTAATTTTTTCCTACAGTGAGTATCCATCCATCCTACAGTGAGAATCCATCACAAGAGTGCCTGAAATAAAGCAATGTAAGATTGCAGTGTCAAAAGTCAGAAGACAAGCAGCTGAAGATGAAGCACTTGTTTGCTCCTGCCTGGATAACCACTTTGCTCTAGATTTAATTGAAGTGACTCTTGACTCGCATTTCTCAGACTCTCACAACTGCTTAGCCCCTCAGCTTTTGTTATGTGTAAGGAAACATGGCTGATTGTGGCATAGTTCCAAAGTACCAGCTGCTCTGAGTGGGCAGCCCAGTGTGCATGGGATGCTGAACAGATCTCAGCCTGTTAACTGGCCTCTGTTTGTGCCTCGCGGCTGGGGACAACCAGAAAGAATAAATACATCAATGAAGCAGACAGGAAGAAGGAGGAAAAGGCTGGTTAAAGATCTGCAAAGAGAGGAGCATGTGTACTGTGGCAAAAGACATTAAACTCATCACGAGAGACCCTCAGCTGATATATATTGGCGTAAGTCAATGGAGTTACATCAGTATATAGCAGCAAAACATCTGGGCCTCCAATTGCTAGAGAGGGCCAAGCCAAGTTATTAAATGATCCCTACAAAATGAGGAATTTCCCAGAAGGCGCTTGTCCTCTAGCTGTCTGCTGCAACACTGTCATCTCTATGCTGTGCTTCTAGCACACTACGACCCTGTCAAGCCACCAAATATTTTTCTTTCCCTTGCATCATTCAGCCCTATGTGATATCTCTTCACACATCCTCTGAATGGAGTAAAGTTGCAGACAGACTTCACTTAGGGAAATACCTTGGAGCACATCTCTTTTTATTTAAGTCTTTGCGAGTCACCAGGCCCGGGAAGTGGAAGAGAGACTTGACAAGGATAGATAAATTAAAGGTTTAAATGTCAGGAATAACTGCACAGGATAAGAAAAATGAGGCTACAGTTACATGCAGCATAGTGGAATGGAGGGCAGATGTGGTATTAAGGCAGAGTTCTACTACTCTTAGCAAAGGCACACAGCCACAGTCTCTCTATAGGGAACAGTCTTCTGCTTGTGGTACAAATAAATCTTCAGACAAGTAATGAAACTCTATCAGTATCCACTGAGGTGCAGTTTAGAAAGAAATCAGATATTTAATAATCTGAGGGATGAGATTATTGCAGCTGGCCTGTTTATGGAAAGGCATGAGTCCAATTATTTAATTTGGGAATGGCTTAAGAAGAAGGCATTTATAAATAATTTCTCAATGCTTGGTTTTCAGTCACTGTGACTGTCTAACTACCTGCAACCATTATAAGGTAGGCAGCGTTTGGGATTATCGTGAGTTATTTCTTTAACACTCTCATAGGGTGCGTCTAGACTACATGGCTCCATTGATGGAGCCATGCAAAGTAGTTTACTTGATACAGTTAATGAAGTGGGGATTTAAATAATCCCCACTTCGTTAAAATAAAAATGGCCACCGTGCTGTGCTGACAATCATCTGATCCGGCACAGGTCAGCAATCTAGACACGGCGCGGTCGACAAGGGAAGCCTTTGTCGACCGCTCCTGTAAACCTTGTGAAATCCCTTCTTCATTGACTCTGACGAGTAAACTACTTTACATGGCTCTGTCAATTTAACCAAGTAGTCTAGATACACCCATAGCCTGCCATACCACAACAGAGTTGCTATTAGTTCAGTAGTCTGAATCTGAGAGTAGCTGGGAATGGGCAACAGGAGATGGACCACTTATTGATTACCTGTTCTAGACATTTCTCCTGGGGCCCCTGGCATTGGCCACTGTCGGCAGACAGGATACTGGGCTAGATGGACCTTTGGTCTGACCCAGTATGTCTGTTCTTATGTTAAACTGGCCCAGTCTGACAGAGATAAAAGTAGTGTCTCTTCAGTGGCATAGGTGAAATGAGTTCCTGGTCTCGATCCAGTGGCAAAGACACCATAGAACAAAACCCACAGATTTATTGACTCCCCTGTAGACAGTCTCAGAAGAAAGACCAAAGACTACATGGGCATGGAGCTGCCTGGAATGATGCTCTCACCTCAACTGCAGCATTCAGGGTTGAAGCACATTGGCCTTGTGGCTGAGACGTTGCTTGTACGGCAGTAAATCTATCCTTACTGGTTCTTTATTAAAAGAGAAAATGTGAGTCTCCAGGACTTTCATTACCTTTTGTGAGCACTAAATTTTGTCTCTTTTCAAAAAATTCACAAAATTTCATCTGTCTCTTATTCTATCAAACTAAATATGCACAATTGAAGTATGAAGAGTCAAATTGAATTAAAATAATGATCAGTCTCTTGCAATTAAAATACGCAATGCAAAATACAATTGGGCTTATTTTACTGCATGCTTGAATGATAAAGCAACAATAGAAGCTTAACATTTCTGTCAGGAAGAGTCAGAATTTACATATATCAGTTAAATGTGGCCCAAAATAGATCTCTACTTCCACATCTACAAACCGTCAAACTCTCATTTTGAGAATCCCATCCCTAATGGGACAAATGGGAATTGTGCATTAAAATTAAATGATCTGATATGACTTATTGAAAGACAAAAACATTAAATCTGTATTGGTGTTATCCATTTTTGCACACAACTTGCTTCTAGGAGTCTGGGCCAGAATCAATAAGCAGGAAGAGAGGAAATAAAGTGGAAATATTATTGAAACCTCAATAAACGATAACATCTTGGGTGCTTGATTCTCTGATGAACTGTGAATGGTGACTTTAGTCAGGCCCATGTGAGTGTACCAAGATAGAAGGAATGGAAAAAAGATACATGTGATGAGAACAAAGAGAAAATACCCTTTATGCCTCTCTCTCTCTCTCTCTCTCTCTCTCTCTCTCTTTCTCTCTCTCTCTCACACACACACACACACACACACACTCACACACACACAAAATACATCACTTGCTCAAAGACTATTATCCCATTGAAGTTGGTTACTAAGAACTGTTACTTTGATAATTACTTTGCATTCACACCAAATTCCCACTACATTCACCATGAAATGAAAGGGCTTGAATTGATTCTGCATTCCTTGTGTAAACTTGCAATCACAAGTGGTTTCAAAACTGCAGTTTTGGGCCTTTCCTTTCAGTCATTCTACATGAAGATGATGGGATCAGTTCTACAAATCTATACTTATCCAAACACAGAGTTCAAACTCACACCGTAGTCTCACTGGTTTTGATGGGACTACTCACCTGATTAGAACCAAATCCTGACCTAACCAACTAATGTAAGTCACAAAGGGCCCGTTCATTTAAGTAGGGCCCGATGCTGATCACATTGAGGTTGATGGAAATTCTATCACTGGCTTCAATGGGACTGAGATTTGACCCTACTTGCATATGAGTTGCAGGATTAGGCTCCTCAATCAGTCACAAAATTTAACAAAAAACCCAAACATCTAATACCTATTAAAATGTGTAATTAGGTATTTGCATCTCAGTGATGCTAATGATTTGTATTTGGAAGCTTCAGGGGGTAATCAAGTTAGTCTGTACAGGATAAACTTAAAAAACAACAAATGGTCTGGTAGCACTTTATAGACTAACAAAACATGTAGATAGAAGTGGGCTGTGCCCACGAAAGCTCATGACACCATCTGCATGTTTTGTTAGTTATAAAGTCCTACCGGACCATTTGCTGTTTTTTATTTGTATTTGGAGACTCTCATGGGACTGACACATATAGATTGCTGTGTATGGTTTCTTAATACATGGATAAGAGAAGCCTTTTTGGAGGAGAAAATCCATCCCACAAAGAACAGGACAGAGTGGACCAGATGTTTAAGAGGGACAATTAGACTATTTGTAGAACTCTACATTAATAAACTAGTGACAGTTCAAAGTGGTTATCTACAGAGCATGCTAAAGCCTCAACAGCATTAGAAAATCTAATAGAAACCTTACTTTCAAATTCTATAGAAAAATTACTTTAGAAAACAGTGCGTTTGCTATTATCTGCAAAGATTCCTGCTTTCTACTAAAAGTGAGAATGCATCCAAAGTTATCAAGAAAGCTATTTATTAAAATTCAGAGTCAGATAAATTATAAATAGGAATGACATTTATTCATTCACGCTTAAAAATAAGCTCTTGAAGCAGCCTGCTGCTTCCTATGCTCTGGGCAGTGGCCATGGCGACAGTTTCCTACAAAGTGAAAGATACATGAGGGATCAGAGTGGTATCCTTTTTATCCCCCCTTTAATTTTAATTAGGATCAAAGTTGATTGAATTTCCATCTTCTGTGCAATGACAGAGGCAGACAGAAAAGAGAGCTGATTCAGAAGAAGTTGCTGTACTAAGGCTAAATAATTGAAATTAATTTTTATTTTATGGAAAGGGTTTTGCAGATTTCTGTGCATTTTTTTTAGCATCTTTCAGTTCACAGATAAAAGATCAACTTGTCCCCCTAAGATTAAGATAACTTTGGGCCCAATTCTGTGATCTTTGGGTGAATGGAGTTAATGTGTGTTTAAACCAAAGCACACGCTTAAACACTGCTGAATAGTTGGACTTAACAGTAACACACTTAAATACCGAAATTGCGGTCTTGGTGTTCATTCTAATAAAGCTCAACTACTTGCAAGCAGCCACAAAGAAGTCTCATACAGAGGGAAACTGCAGTTTGTTTTTTTAAATCAAATGAATATTTAGGAATAATTATTTTTGCACCAGAGGCTTAACCATAGTAATGGCTATGTGGAAACTGGGAACTTGACCACAAACGGGAAAAAAACTGGACAGGATTCTGCATATAATGCAGACTCTAGTAAATCCTAGTAAGGGATCTGGGAGAAGATGGGATAGGAAAAAAAAGGGGAAATGAGTAATGAAAATAGGTTTGCCAACACTGAAGTACAGGCAGTCCCCGAGTTACGCGGATCCGACTTACGTCGGATCTGCAGTTACGAACGGGGTTCCTCTCCCTGGTCTCCAGCAGACCAGGGAGAGGAAGCAAAGCGGCGGAACACGTGGGCAGCGGACAGGGTTGTCCGCTGCCCACGCGCTCCGAGGCTTGGCTCTGCTTTGCCCCCCCCCCGTCCCCCTGGTCTGTAGATCTGTATGTAAGTCGGAACTGGCGTCCAGATTCAG